ACCACCTGAAAAGCAAACCATAAATTTATAATAAATGGATGCGAGAGATGGACGAGCAAATCAAGTTCACGTAAAATACTATCAGCCACCATACGTTCCACGCATCGTTGTTTATTCATATACTTAAGTGCGTAATATTTCTTTGTTGGGCGATATTTTGCTATATAAACCTTGAATTTTACTTTTTCAATTTGTCAGTTGTTATTGAAATGATAACAAATTTTAGCAAAAGAAAGAAGCAAAAATCCCTGCGGAGGTCAAATTGAGAAACAAATACTTAAAAAAGCAGGCCAGTTATATGTGTGATCTGAATGAGAATAGGTAAATAGTATAGATAGAATATGTCTAAAAAGTATATTATTCTCATTAATTATATTTTGAATTAAATTAACTGGAAATTGAATAATTGAATAGTTTATCAGATTATTTGTACTTTTAAAGAAATTATGTGTGTTTGAAAAATAAAATAAACAAAAGCTCAGAAGAAATCAGATTAAGGCCTAATTTAAATTTTGCCATTAAAAAGAAGAAATTGTTTACATTGCCGAAAGCTCCTCCACCGAGGAATCTCGAAATTGTGAAGTCAGATAGCTTGGGATGAGTAGGACTGGATGCTCTTCTCGAGCAGCTACAGCCCATATACAATAAGGAATCGCTGCTTCACTTCTATACTTGCGACGATTTCCTCATTGTTCCTTAAATTATTGCTTGATTACATTATTACACAAATAATTGGCTATAAAAACTCATCTGTTCACATTATTATTTAACTAAATTTGTAAGAATTTAAATCCTCTGAACTGCAACATTTTAAATTGGTCCATATGAGTGAAGCAAGCAAGATTCATTACAGCATAATAATAATATAGAAGAAGCAAGCAAAAAACGTGATCAGATGTAATGTGATGTGACGGAGAAAGTGAATCTTTTCACGCCAATTTCTATAAGTAAAGTAAAAAACTTGTAAATGGCTAATTTGCGTTATTTCACGTTTTCGTTCACAATATTTTCTGCTTGCTCTAATTTGTCTATGCAAACAAGCTGAACACATTAAATATAATATCAAAAAATAAAAGTGAATTTATAGCAATTTCTTTCATTCAGAAAATTCGTTGTTTTACAACTGCTAATGAAAAAAGTGTTATCACTTCTAACAAATTATGTCAGTGCTAAGGATAAATCAAAATAGAATCATGCATGTAAATCATGCAGTCATCGTTAAAGGTTGTTGCAATATTTCACGTTGTAAATTACGTACTTTAGTTATATTTATAGCTAATAAGCTAATACAAATGAGAGTTGAAGTTTTTAGCATTCATGCAAAGATATTTCACTTTGCAAGCAGCAGAGTACTTCCGTGTCAGAAATCCATGCAAATTTATATTAAATAAAAAATAATCACTTGCTTTTTTTTTTTAAAAAGCTTTAACGATGACTAGCTTAACTGTTCCTGATTATGATTATAAACTCTAAACTCTATTCCTGATTATATAAGCTGATTATAAAGTGATTATAAAGCTTTAGCTATTCCTCAAAGAAACTGATAATTCTATAAAATTCATCAAATTCAATTTCTGTGCTAACATTGAGCAAAGCAAAAACAGAATAAATGAATTGCTTAGTAGAAATAATAGTTGAAGTGATATCCATCACTCTTCGACACAGCGTTTTCCTTCTCACTCATTTTTGATAACTTTGCATAAACAACAAAATAAACTTTAAAAAAATAAAGCATATGAAAATTTCATTCAAATATTGGTAGTAAATATCTCGGAGATCATGAAATGCAAGCAAGTCGAGAGTTGCTTTCTGCATTTGTGTATTATTCATTAATATTTAATTGGTTAACAAATAATAATAATAACTATTATTATTATTATTATTGTTATTATTAATATTAATATTAATATTATTATTATTACTAATTATTATCATTGTATTGTTCACTAATAATTAATTGATTAATAATAATAGTAATTATTATTATCATTATTAGACGAAGAATAAATAAAAAAAAGAACGAACTTGAAGTGGAAGAAAGCAAGGAGCATTGTAAACATGGAGTAAATTCTTGCAGCAACAAAAGTTCAATTTGATGCCATTGATGCTCAGATGTATATGTAAGTGTATTATGCTTGTACATGTAGGTAGGAGGTATATGTATGGATGAATGTGAGTGTGCAGCCTTCAAAACCAAAACTCACAGCAGTAATTTGCTTATCGTCAAGCCTTTAGGTCCTGAAGATAAGCCTAATCCAAGAAAAACAAAATGCTATGAAACAATAGTATTAAAATACTTAAAAATGTGTCCATATGTCGGGCCTTAAACATGCTAACTTTCTTTTTTATTCTTTATTTCAGTTATTTTTTAAGCACTTTTTTTCTCTTCTCTCTAATTCAAGGCTTTCAATTTTAAAATAGAATCAATACAAAGGCCTGTAGACATTATTCTACATGAATAACAAGTATTTATTCCTCCTGCCCAACCTTAATTGCTATGGATTCAGTTGCCTTATCAAGAGTGAAAGTTTACGGAAGCGCTATCACGCAAAAGCTCATGAGATGAAATTTTAAAATGATGCACGTATGCTAAAAGCATAGATATAACTTCATGACTACGTGAATTAAACTTTGCTTTTTGCTAAAATGAAAGTTTGATTTTATTACTAATAAAGTTTTGATTAGTTTTATCATTTTTACATTATTCTTCTAAGCATAAACAAAACTCTGACAAGCATAAAATATTATGCTTTACACTCGGATTCTTTGTAGAGAGTTATTATTAATATTATTCATTAGTAATGAAGGCTTGACAGAAGCCTTGTCAAGCCTTCATCACTAATGACTATTCAAATAAAACTCAACAATTGCGCCTTCTACACTTATTACTTTCGAGTTCATTTTTACCACAAATAACTTGATAACTATTATACATATATAACACAGGTGTAGGAATAATTAATTATACATTCGTTCAATTTGAATATGGAAGAAACCACTGCTAGACACCTTCTTCTTCCTCATTCACGTTGTTTACAAATATCAAATGTGAATAACTTCACATTACTTGATGCCAAACATTTCACAAGTGTTTTATCGATACATTTTTAAACTGTTAACAACTGAGGAATAATATATGTCTATCAATTATAAAAATGAAAATCCATTTCTTTGACGGTCTCGGTCGACTTCAAGAGCATAAGACTCTTGAAAACAAGCTAAACGTCAGTTAAACGTAACATCTTTGCAGAGGGAGAAGCAACTGATTAGCACCAAGTTGTTCAGTTTAACTACGAATTTAATATATGAATAAAGATTACATTACATAATGAGCTGGTCAATGCTTCACAGTTGCGTACTGCTTAATACAGACAAAACTGTCCATGCGTGCATCCTTCATCAACGATTGATTACAGATATCATTTTTATTAACACGCAAGAAGCACTTTGCTTAATCTGTATTCCTATAATGACAACGATTACTGGAAACTTTAAAAATTTACTTGGTGGTATTGCGGTTTAATATTTGCAATATTCACTTGCAAGCAATACTATTAGCATAAATAGTAACATAAATACAAAAGTAGCACAACAAATTTCTATGAATTTATTTCAGTTCGTTTTATCAAACGTACTTGTCTCAAGACTACTAGCCCTCTGATCAGTATTACTTTGCTAGTATTTTATGCCACTGCTATTCTTTACCAGCTGTTAATAACTAAAAGATGTAAACAACACTTGATAATTATTTCAATTAAAAAGATAAATGCAAGCTCCACTTTCTTGCCATCAAATATTAACGTAACACTTACCAATCCAATATCTTAAGTTTCTTTACCACTATAAAACTGCCACACTTCACGAGTACAACTGCATTTGCTGTTTTACAACAAATAAATATAAATGAGTACTTTTTCATTCAATTTCAATGCAGATGCAGTACAGTTGTAATGTTTGTAGCTACAGCAAATTGCGCAAAAGAAAATAAACGAAAGAGTAGATCAATCAATACAACTTGTTACGAGATACCTAATTGCAAATCTTCAATTAGCGCTGAGAAATATTAAGCAACATTTGCAATTCGAGATGCATACTAAATGATAACCTTATTTTTCGAGATATAATGTGATTCAGTGCTGTGCAGCAAGCTATATTAATCACAAAAAATGTTTAATTTATCAAAAAAAGAACTATACTGCACACTTTTTGTTTAATGCAACGCTCCAATTGAATATAACATCCACGACTCATCTTTAATCAGCTTCATTGCACACATTCTCAAACACTACACACATTTCCATCCCATCTTTTATTTCATAGCTGAAAAAATGTTATATAGTTAACTTTCATTTTCACTACACCAATCGCTTTAGAAAAAAATCCCTTCACAATGATAACCGTATTCGAAACTAAAATTACGACATTACTGGTTAAAAAGTGAACAATTATTTTACATATACTTCCAACCACTTGTGATCGTACATAAACACAGGCATACTTTACACTGCATCGAATGATCCTTCGCTACCAAATTACCAAGTTAAACCACTAGAAGACATAAAGTATCATGAGCAAACCAAACAACATTAATTCACTGAAAACAATAATGAACTGTAGCTACATAACATATCACCAGACAATACACCTATTCTCCTTCTGAGAATTTTCTAAAAAAGTTGCAGAAAACTACTTTAAGAAAATAACTACGAGGAAATATATTCGAAAAAGTAGGAAATTAACAAATTAAACAACTATATACAATATATCCAGCAACCAACAAAAAGCATGGACAGTTAAAACTAAAATAAAAATAATATGCCCACATATGTTATCATTTCTCTTGCTGTAAGTAAATCGTCAACTTTCTGTACCCAAGTTTTAAATACAAAAGTTCATACAAGTACATATCAGAAATATCAGAATCATTTGCAAGGAATATAATCAAAACCCAAAACCATGGATTTACAAATATCTAAAATAAATCTGATCAAATTTATAAGTTAGACATGTCCTTCCTCTTTTGAAATAGTTTCGTCGATTGATGTTATGATCACGCTCGGATTTTTGTAAACATACCTAGTCGATTTTTTAGCTTTTGATTCTTCCTGTTTCTCTGCAACATGCGAAAGCAGTTTACCATATTGAAGCAGATTTTTGACTTCATCTATCGACAACGTTTCATATTCCAATAATGCTGAAGCCAGAAGTTCGTGTTCCTTCTATAAAAAAAGTAAAACAACTATTCATTTCCCAATCAATATACAATGCACATCTTTTGATTTTACAAAGTTAATATTGATTCCAAAATTTCATTGTAATTTTAATAGGAAACAAAATTTTACTCTGTGTTTGATGAGTATATCTTTCGTACGTTCATATGATTCTTTTAAGAGGCGGTTAATTTCTTTATCAATTGCATCTGAAAACGGTGAACTAAGCTGATTGATGGCTATAATCGATTTTGAATCATCATCTGTTATTCTCAAGCCAACCTAAAAGTAGCACAAAAAATGTTGGTTTCCTAAAAATCTTGAAGTGAAAAACGAATGTTTAGAAAATTTCAGTAAATAATAGAGCGTATTTTTTCAAAAACACTGCATCAATAGAATTTTTGAAGAAAAAACCCAATAGCATAATCTGCTACTACCTTATCACTCATCCCAAAAGTCTTGACCATTTTTTTCGCCAGATCTGTTGCCTTCCTCAGATCATCAGCAGCACCAGTAGTAATTTGATCATTACCAAAGATAAGCTCTTCTGCAACTCTACCACCCATTAAAGTATCCAATTGTGCCAACATTTGCGCCTTGTTTACATGATACTCGTCTTTTTCTGGCAACATCGACGTCTATAATTACAAATCATATAATATTTACCAACATAAACTTTCTAATACAAATCAGATAATATATAACAATATAACCATTCGTTGAATTTTATGAAGTGAGTGTCGTAATTTTCATTTCATACTTTCCATATGATAAGTAAAAACTAACATGTCCCAGTGAACCACCTCTTGGAATAATAGTCACTTTATGTACAGGAGTTGCATGCTTGGTATAAATACTAACAAGTGTGTGACCAGCTTCATGAAACGCAGTGATTCGGTTAACTTCCTCATCTGGTAATCGTCCGCGTGTACGTGCAGGTCCTGCAAAAATATGTACAAAATCTAGGTGACCATTACTTAATCTGTACTTGTTTTAAAAAACTGAAACTTGTCTTTGAATAGTTTCGTGAGAATTTTTAATTTTTCATAAAACGAATTTGTAAAAAATCAAGAATGATTAAACAAAACCTACCCATCATCACACGGTCTTTCGCCTCCTCCATATGTTCCATACTGACTTTCATGAGCCCTTCTCCAGCCGCCTGAAGTGCTGCTTGATTAATCATATTCTCAATTTCGGCTCCACTAAATCCAGTGGTTCCTCTTGCAAGAACATCTTCATTCACATCATCGCTAACTGATATTCTGCTCAAATATAATCTGAAAAAATGCCAGAATAAATAAGACAAAGAATAGACGGAAAAATTTTATATATACACACTTTATAATTTCTTTTCGCCCCTCCAAATCAGGATAAGGAACGTGGACTTGAACGTCAAAACGACCGGGGCGAAGAAGTGCTGGGTCTAAATCATGTACTCGATTTGTTGCACCGATGACAATAACGCCGTCATTTGTATTGAATCCATCCATTTCAGAAAGTAACTGAACAAAAATATGTAAATAATGAACAGATATTTAAGAAAGAAATTGCTCTAAAATAACCTCAGTGCACTTAATATTCAAGACTAAATAAGTTAAATCTGAAACAAATAAAATACTTTATCTTTAATCCAAAGCAACCATATATCTTTCATGTAAAAGAAAGGTGGCTAAAACTCATAAACTGCAGTTCATTAATGCACATTAAGCTGATGTTTAACTTCGAGTAATTCCATATATTACTAACTTTCAACACTAATACAAACCTGATTAACAGTTTGATTTGCATGAGGATGCATAGCATCAGCTACTCGCTTTGAACCTACTGAATCAATCTCATCAATAAAAATGATGCAAGGTGCCTTTTCCTTCGCACGAGCTACAAGGATTTCATTTAATTAATTATATTTAAAAAATTTTGTACTGCTAAAAAAGCAAAAGTATAACATTTCATAGCAAATCACTTGCGAAAATGAAATCATAACAGACACGAAAAAAATTATGACATGTATTTTACCAAAAAGATCTCTCACACGACGAGCGCCTTGTCCAACAAATAACTCATCAAATTCGGAGCCAGATGCTTGAAAAAATGGTACCTGAAGCATGTTCAGTAAAAACATAAACAAATTTTCTTGCTGAAAAATATATGATAGGATCTAGATATCGCACTATCCCAAATACTTATTGGTATCATGTTTCAAAGCGATTCACATTTGTATTTTTATTCTTAAAATTTGGACTCATTGAAATACCATTTTCACTAGTAAATTTCACAAACAATTAACATAATATGAATCAAAAACAGTATATGCGTCAAGAAATAGCGTTACCTGAGCTTCACCAGCAATAGCTTTCGCTAAAAGTGTCTTTCCTGTCCCAGGAGGACCGACTAGAAGAACACCTTTGGGAAGACGTGCACCAAGTTGCGTATATCTCTCTGGTTCTTGGAGATATGATACGATGCCACGTAATTCATTTTTTGCTTCTTCAACCTATTAGATTTTAAAGTGGAAATAACCGACTAAACAAAAGCAACAGGAACAGGTGAAGATGATAAAATGAAAGACTCACACCACAGACGTCAGTAAATGCAACGCCTATGACTTCGGGATCTATTTCTTCCACAGACGTGAATATAGATGTCTGCGGGAAGCCAAAAGACTTCATAATGATATCTGAAATACTACTGTGAGTAAACTTTACAAAAAAGTAACAACACAAATGTTGAGTAAAATCTAACTCTGTTATATATTAATTTGTGAATGCTTTTAATGACTACTTCAATAAAAGGATACAAACAGACTAGAATTTAATAACAATGCAGAAATCACAGAAAATAAACCACTGCTAAACTTACAAATACCCAATCCAACTACTACAGATGAGAAAAGTAATGTTCGAATTAATGATCGCTTCTGTTTTTGTTCACTCGAGTGATCCAAAGCAGCCATATATCCTTCCTATAAAAGAAAGGTAGCTAAAACTCACTAGCTGCAGTCTAGAATGAATCATTGTTAAAGCATTCCTCATCAAAGCTAAGCTAATAACATGAAGGATGTCTGCAATCCGAAAACCTTCCTTCTTTTTTAGTTCCAAGATAAATATATATTTATGGAACATGATACTTACCAGGAAGCCTTTTCTGTCGTTATCAGATACCATTTTCAATTTTTCACGAAAAGCTTTTGTTTGTGCACCTTTTTGTCTAGCGTTCTAAAAGATATATATGAATTCAAAAAATAAAATTGTGAAATTTGATAGATGGAAAACAAAATTATTTCATTACTAAAATTCTTTTATAAGAAAATGATGTACACACAAAGCACTGTAAGGAGTACGAGTCGATTGCATAATTTCGAAAGCAACTTTTTTCTAAAGTAAAAGCAAATGAAACGAAACCTCGTGCATGTGGATTCCTAAAAACGCAAAAAACCCTTTCTTTGGTTTTTCTTTCTCCAAACGTACTGTTCGAAAACCTCTTTTTTGAAAGTCTAAAACATAGAGTAATAAATGAACAAAATCTATCACGCATATCTAATATTAATGCTATAAAATTAGTATTTTTCATCGCAATTAATAGAGATAACATAAAGCGAAAGCAAAAGAATACGATTTTCTTAACTGAATTCAAACGTTTAAACTTAAACTTCACGAAAAAAAAAACTTACAAAACTGGGAAGTCATGGGATGATAAGCTAAATTTAACAAATTTGTTAGCCTTAATTTTATGAGTGAGTTTTTACGTCTGTAGTGTTGCACGCATATTCGATTCTCTGAAAGAATCCAGTTTATGAAAGACTTTAATATATATGCTTTTCATATCCATCTGAAAACAATAAAACAATTGTAATAAATAGACTAAATTTCACGCTTCTGGTTGAATTTTTGACAGATAATTAACCGATATGTTGAAACAATGTGATTTATCAAATTCAGTGATTCAACAAGTAACAAATTCAAGAATTAAAATTTAAAATTTATTTACTAAATTTACGAAATTACCATCAAGAATAGATTGAAGTAGGGACGCACTGAGTGAACTGAAACATTTCACATGAGTACGCTGAAAAAGCTTTGGACCTATTCTAACTGAATTCAGTTCACTTCTTGAATTAGTAACTGCTGGCAATCGCATATTTTGAATTTGTATTGCTAAAGAAGACGTTGAAAATACAAGGGCAGACATAGCACCTTTACTTTTGTATCTAAAACAAATCATAAAATGAGATAAGAAATGAAAACTTTAGATTGACGTTTCGCTTGACAGAAAATAATTTTATTAATAACAAATTAAATGAAACCAAAAAATTATTTATTTACTTAATTATAGAAATTACTTACTTACTGAGAAATTACTTATTTACTTAAATTACTTGCTTATTTGGCTTTTTAATCAATTCCACCTTAGCTTAAAATTCTTCTCTGCCAGCATTAAATTTTTTTTACATACTTACTTAAAAAATATTCAGTTCAATCAGTGACTTTAAACTAATTTTCATCGCATTACGTTTTAACAGCGTAAGTAAAAAAGAAGTAATTATGTGAGTCCTACTTATGCTGCCTTCAAATTGGGATTCAATAGTAAGAATTAATTACAAAATTTACGAAATTACGATTAAGAATAGATTGAATTTACAAAATTAATAAATGGATAATAAAATAAATAAGTTCCACATAAATGAGCGAATTCTGAGAATATTCCAGTAAAGCTTGGTAACTTTGGGTAATAGCATCAGGGAAGAAGTAAAACGAAGTAAATGGAACATTTTCAATCATAATCAGTGCTAATCAATGAGTGCTAAATGCATTAAATCAATATTTTGCAATAATACTGCGTTACCGTATCATTATCAACCAGCTAAGGAATGAGTTAGAGATAAGAATGACAAGATACTCGTTGGGAGAACTTTACAGCACTGACAGAGTCAATTTGCATAAACTAATGCAGAATACAGGAAACAGAGAAGAATAATCAACTCAGCACAAAGGAATAGTACCTACTTTAATTAAATAAGTAATTTAAGGTCTCACCACACGCTATGTCTAATGTTTCAAACAGCAGTGCAGCTGGATACAGGACCTCTGGTAACAGTAGTAATTATTATTAAGACCAGCTATACTACTCCTCGCTATTATTATTGTTAATGATATTGATATTAATATCAATATCATTATTATGCTGCTATTTATTACCGTTACTAGTGTTATCGTTATTCAGTATAACTGCTGTTACTACCATCATTGTTACTATCAACTTCATTAAGTACTCTCATTATTATTTTTATCAATACTATTATTAATCAACCTGCATTTCTTTAGCTACCAGCAACAATGCTCCCATAACAGTTGATTTGTAGCAGTACCAGCTATTAGTACTAGCAACGGAGTCGATACTTGACACTGCTATCGCCAGCATTACCCTAATAATCACTGCTACCGATAATGCTACTGTTTATTCGGTAATAACAGTGTGATCAGTGTGGCAAAATAGGAGAGGAAAGGAGGCATTCGAGAAAGAAAATTATCCATATGATAGTCACAATGTGATGAATGTAAACTCTTCTCAGTTATCAATGTAACACATCGAATCTAAAAGTGGCACGCAGTATTATCCCTTTCTCACTTCACGTACGATTTGGTTTACACTGTCTTGATTATTATTTTTATCCCTCTTATTGATATTATCGTCATTATAATCATTATTATTACTATCATTACTGTTTGACTACAATTACCTTCTCTTGTAAATTTACTTGAATTGAAATAAACATAGACCTATGTCAACAGAAATAGTCCTCAGTAACACTGGATAAATTTTCTAACCAAATCTCATACTATCTTCACTTTGATCTTGCTTAGACTTATTTCTGTTAATCCATTCAGTCTTGCTCAAACTTATTCCTGCTATATAATAACGATATAATATATAGTGGAACTTAATTTTTCATTACGGATTACCATTAATATTAGGGCCACATAATAGGGCATTGTGACAAGTGAATTGAGTTCGATAGTATTCTTAAATTTTGTATTCCGAGTGTGATTGCATCTATTCGTAAATTTTGTGTTCTCGATGTGATTGCACTTATTACTGGTATAAACTGTGTATTTCAGGATGTCAGGTGATAATCCTAATGATTTTTACCTTCGTTATTATGTTGGCCATAAAGGAAAATTTGGGCATGAGTTTCTTGAATTTGAATTTCGTCCAGATGGCAAGATGCGATATGCAAATAATAGCCAGTACAAGAATGACACTTTAATTCGGAAGGAAGCATACGTTGGAAAAATTGTCCTAGAAGAGCTCAAACGTATCATTGATGACTCCGAAATTATGCAAGTATGCTAAATTCCCGTTCTTTTAATATCTGTGAAGCGATATGTCTTTAACTTATCAAGACTAAACAAGATAAGACAACTTTGTAAAAACCATTTTTTAAATTATTATATAAGTTTTTTATTACTTGTACTTTTAGAATTAGGGAGTATGCGTCCGATGCATTAAATCTATATAAATTTTTCTGAGAATTTATGCGAAATAAAGACAAGCTTACTTTTACACCCAACTTTCGTGCTAAGTTGTGCTTTTTGCATATGCATCACATCTTTTTCAAATTCAGTTAAGTTCAGTTAAAATTAAGGATTACTTTTAACATCACAAAGTTTGTATGTTGGGAGTGACAAACTTATGATTTTTAGTTGTCTGCTTTTTCAGATTTTTGCCTTTAAATCGTTACTTTTAATTCAGTAAGCAGACCTTTATAAAGTCATTAGTTAAAAACTTAAATATTCTGACTTTTATTTAGGAAGACGATGCAACATGGCCAGAACCAGATCGTATTGGAAGGCAGGAATTGGAAATTCTTCACAGTGATGAACATATTTCATTCACGACAAGGTAATGCTTTAATTCTTTTGATAGTCGCTTTTGTGGTTTTGAAGATTGCTTCAGAAAACATCTCGTTAAACACAGAGGTCTCTACCAAAATTTTTTTCTGTTACTGAGTTTACGTGATTTTAGTCGGCATTCACTATATCTATAGAACAGAACACTTTATGCGTGTCATATTTTTCACGTTCTTAAACATCCTTCTGAAAACTGGTCAGCAAAGTTTTATGTGGTATTGCTTGTGATGACCATCTTCAAAATAAGTGAATTTAGAATTGGAACAAGTAAACTCGTAGACAGCTTTGTAAGTTTTCTTAATCACTTTTTAATTTAGCAAAATCGGATCAGCAGCAGATGTGAATAAGAGCAAAGACCCAGAAGGGCTAAGATCATTTTATTACCTTGTTCAAGATCTCAAATGTTTGGTTTTCTCCTTGATCGGTATGCACTTCAAAATTAAGCCCATTTAATATTGGATTTCTATACCACTTCGTTGTGTCCTTGTTTTTATGTAATTGTGTTAATGGAACTACAACATTCAACCAAATATTTTGACAAGATCAAAGGGAGTGCTTTTTGCTCCATTAAATTTTTTTATTGCGTATTCTCGTGTACCTGTGCCAGTTTGTTACTTCAGAATATAGCTTTTGCTTATTGAGAAGTTATCTACACTTTTTACATGGCTGATAAAGTTATCTAAGGTTATAAAACGGTAAGTGAATAAAAAACGTCGAACATATGTTTGAATAAACAGATAAAGTTAAGAATGTATAATAGTACTACGAGCATATTGATTTAGTCATGCGTCATCCAGAAATGCTGTTCACAGTGGCTTATGAAAATAATAGCAGCACAAGAAAAAAGTGTTGGTTTAACCTATAATACTGTATTTGCGAAGTAGAAAGCACACATAAACTTGTTGGTTTGTTGATTACTATACTCATTTTTATTTCCGGGGTAGCTACACTTTCTAAGTAGCTTACATATTTGACATCATGGCTGCACGTATCGCTTTCTTGGAAAGTAGAAAAAAGGTATGAGCTGTACAAATGCAATCAGTGATGCGATAGCGTTGGGCAACTGAAACACCCAAATTTACAAATTGATCAACCTGAATAGAAATGGTAGCAGTAACTTCATGATCATAATAAACATAGTCAGGGCTCTTTTACAAGATGAATTTTCCTAGTTCTAAACTTTGAAAGCTAAGTAGAGACTGTATATAGAAACTTTTATGTAGAAGTCGTCGATAAGAACACCATACAAAAGCCATTCCATTGTGACAAGGAAAGTAAAACAACATAGAGGTAATGGCATTGTTTCTGTACATCGAGTACGAAAAACTTCGCGCTAAAATTGGAAAGTCTTATATTTAAATCATAATAAAAAATTACATGGGTCGTAACAATAACTGAAGTGTCTCTAGACTCACCAAAGCTTCTAATGGTGAAGCGACACTAAAAACATTGAAAACCATACAACACAGTCCTAGATGTGAGCGGGCGTCTTCTACAGGCAAACCGTAGTAATAAACATAGTAATGCACGCTTATCAAGAAAAGCACTTCCAGAAAAATTAATTTAATGCATCGTTTCTGAAATCATAAATGACTGTATGTGAAATTGTTCCAAAACTTCCGGTTTTTTAAAGACTGATACACCGATTTAGATCGCTAACCTTTGTAGCAGATGGTGCCATAATAAAATAGAAGAGAAGGTAACATGAATAGAGCAATGAAGCCACCGAATTGACGGTTATTATTGTCTAAAACATTCGAAATTTACGTTTTTCAATCAGATAAATACTTTCCGATTTAATTTACTTCCTATTATTTGATCACGAATTTTTAACAAACCTTATTTTCCCTTAAAAGACCATATTGTAACCAAAGCTGTCCAGAAACAAAACCCATGTGAAATGGTGCCGAGCTTACGCCATCTGTTGTTCGCTTCGACTGAAATAGTTCTAAAAGATGGCTATAACTGGCAGTTTCTTTCAACCTCAGCTTTCCAGGACTGAAATAATGTTCTAATACTGACTCAATGCAGAAAACTCTAAGACATACATGACCACTTATAATCTACGTCATTTCTAAAATTTGAAAATTACATTGTGGTGGATTTACCATGAGCAAACACAGAAACTAACCTTTATACGCCAACATATCTCAAGACCAGTCAAAAATAAGCACACCGTAGTCACAATCGCGAAAAAAGAAAGCCAATCCAAAAAATGGTGTGTAGTCTCTACTGCGCGGATTGCTGACATTGCCAATATTTTTCTTCGTGAGCAGAATTCAAGACATTTCTGCAAGTCATTTCAAAATAGAAATACTTGGCACTCATTTTTGAAGCAGGAAGTGCAAGAAAAATGACCGCCAGATTATAGCAACCTATACTTCTGCATTCTAAGGTGATATAGAAGTTAGTAATTCCTTCTAAGATACTCACATCACGAAATCATGTCTCACAACATAAAAGTGGATACTTTTAATCGAAAAATCACGAAACATAATTCAACACAAGCGTAATAAATAATCCCGTTGGTAACAAGCCAAATCACCTACACTAGATTAGAAACTTCTCTAGGGAAGAGTTGAAAAATCTTCCTATCTAACTTGAAGTGCAGTCGACCAACTCATCTCACTAGAACTGAAACCTGAGAACAAATAAGCGTAAATCAATACTGAAATTATTTCTGCTTCAACTGACAGTGACGAATTTTTATGAAAAATGATGTAATGGTACTTTCTTTTCACATCACTTCACTCTACAGTACTTGAACAACATTTATTGAAAATAATTTCACAATGAAGTAAAGCTCATCATGAAACAACATATAGCCATATTAGACAAATTTAAAAAAGATTCCCACATAAGAAAGTGATATAAACATTTAGAGATACAACGGAGAAAAGCGCACTCTGCAGTACCTACATAACATTTATGAAAAATTTTTATATCAATAAGGCTGAGCTAATGACAATGGTACAGCAGAAGAATCTCCGGAAACGCCAGAAGTACTCGCGCTACTTCCATGTTTCGGCTTTGTACCCAAAACTGCTGGATCCTCCAACTCCTGCTGCTGCATGGCATTTGGATCCATAACTATACCAGCAAATTTGCCCACTGCCAATGAAGCTACTTCAATCATACCAACGATCACTGCCCCAACTGCTGCTGAGCCCATCATGACCTACAACCAGTAAGACTAAACAATGATGAAGATTACGTGTATATTGATGACAATGATAAAAAATGGTATTTAGTCCCTATAAATCCCCAAAAATAACTACGTGGCAAACATACAATAGGTGCATTTCATACATAGATGAAATCCATCTTCTGTGAAGAATTTTAAGATTTTCTTTCCGCTTGCAATTTATTTTTGAATCGGTAAAATTTCTCCGTTGTATCCCTAAATGTTTATGTCACTTTCTTATGTGTGAATCTTTTAAAAATTTTTGTCTAATATGGCCCTAACATGGTTTCATGGGGAAATATTTAAGAAAATGAAGCCGAAATATGAATATTGATGGAAGAGTTCTCTGAAACCATAAAACACAAACCATAGGACCAGAACGTACAGCCAGTAAAGCACCAGTGAGCCCACCAGATGCTATGGGATTGAACATATCTTCCTGAAAACATGAGAAAGCATAATTATGATAAAATAAGTCTGATAAGCTTTACTGAAAAGCGTAATGAAATTCAGCCACAACAATTTTTTGAACTAAGATTTATTGCAAAATTGTTGAAGTTTTTTTAGCACTATTATTTGTGGAAAAAAATTTAGGAACATGAACTTTTTTCCTGAGCGCTACTAAGCTACAATCGATCGCACTGAATAGACCACCCCAAGCCGCAAACTGACCCCCCACTACTGGTGATCTTGTACGTACCTGAAATCTTTTCAAGATGCTGTTGGCAGCCCAACTATAACGAAAGAAAACAAAATTTTATATTTTCAAAATTATGCAATTTCGAAAGATGACCATTATACCTCACGCATGATACCAAGGAGTTTATGTCCCCATGGCGAATTCCTGAAGCCACTATGCGCATGAAATACTGATCCACCAGCTAATCCCAACGAAAAAGCCCCACCAACATCATCTCCAATTCTATAAGGGCTGCAAAATGATGAAAAATAAAATCGCCTTATTAAAAAAAATAAGAAAATATATACTACAGACCATTTTTCATTGCAAACTTTTAGTTAAGATACTTCACTGAAGCTAATATTTCTTTATGCAACGGCTGCCAACAGCATCTTGCTATTAAAATACAGCTAAATTAACCACCATTAAAATTTGAGTTCAACTTACTGCGACGACTTTTATCTCATGAACTAACTTTGTCTTGAAATGCAATATAATGCAAGCACTTTTTAACTGATGCAGAAAAAATTCGGTTCTATATAAGTGTCACTCATAGTTTTAGTAAAATTATAGTATTCAAGACTGCAATGTGTGCGTTGCAATGTGATTCAGAAATAAATCAAGATCGAAGTATTTTAATGAAAAAATTTGAAAATCAAAAATTTATTTAAATTTAAAAAAATTAAAATTTAATTAAAAATTAAATTTAAAAATTCATTTAAAAGTTTATTAAAATTTTTAAATTTTTACTGGGAGCAAAATGACTTTCTGAAAGTCATAGTTTAAAAAAAGGTCTTATTTCAGGTTATGATGTGGCAAATGACAAAAAATGATGTGATTTCGTTGTAACAAGACACTTTGGCATATCGGAATGTGATAATTTATGTATTAATTAATACGCACAATTAGAAGCTAGTCTGTACTTGATAACAAATAATTTGCTGTCCGCTAAATATGCTCTACCCATAACAATAACCCATTAATACCACATTATAATGAGAAAATAATTCAATAATAGCTCACCATGGTTCACGATCATCCATTCCAAGAGAAAAAAATTACACAAGAATTACCAGGAGCAGCGATCTATATTGAACATATAAAAGTAATCTGAAAGTGGTTATGACAGCTCGAAGTGATACTGACTTACGCCAATGATTTAGGTTATTCAGCGTTAACGCATGCATAAAAGCGATTATTTCTAAGAAAACACGAAATTAAACCTAAGAAAGCCCTTCCCCAGCAAGCTAGTCTATACTTGATCACAAATAATTTGCTGTCCGTTAAAATTAAACTAGAACCGATGAGATTATCGAATTTCATTATGTCCTAGGCATATCTTTCACTTTTAGTTACGTTTGAAAGACTTTTAAATTTGTTATTGGTTGCTTTATTGAATTTGTATGAGGACTTGTTGTTACTCGTAATCGCCATCATTTTTCACACTTATAGCCTTGTTTTTACTTGTTTTCCGGACTTAAGCAGTTTTTTATGCACATTTGAATAAATAATAAACGCATGAAAGTGCTAAACATACGTTTTCATCGTAGTGATTTCTCCATTGTTTCTGAAAATTCTGTTCACAGCTGATGTGTTTGCAGCTGCTATATAATTTACAATTTTTAACGATGCTTGTGGGCTTTCAATTTTTTTCAAAAATACTTTCAGTTTGTCTTTGATTTTTAATTTTCACGTCAATCTATTTCTTTTCATGATAGCGATTATTTCTTCTTACACTCGTAAATGTCGAATGATGAAACTACCGCAGAAGACAACAAGTGTAAGAATAATTTAATTGGAATGAAGAAAAATGAGGTAGTTTTGTGTAGGCGTAATTCCCAGATTGTCATTCACTATCCTATCGGTGAGGATCTTTTGAAAGAAGAATGTCGATGGAAATTTTTGGAATGGTTACTTTTTGCAACTTTTTAGAAGGTTATGAAGTTATCAAATTTCATTCCTTTTTTATTTGTAAAAGCGGACATTGTTATCTAGTTTAATGCCGCATTTTTTTCTCTTATAAATTTTGTTGCTTTAGGTATCCACGTTGCTACCTTCCATGCAGTATCAATTCTTATTACACTCATCCTAGGTCATGTCAGCGGAAAATGCAATCATCGAAAGTGGCTAACTCATCGTATAACGCTGTCACTATATCATCAGATGTTAAGATTTACTTTTTTCACTTTTATTATCCATTTTGTGTTTTTTTAATTTTATTCTTCAGAGTATCAGATTTTCTAGGCCAAAAAAAGTCACTTGTTGCAAGAGTTGAGTTTTAATGATTTTCTTTGTGCTTTATCTATGCGAAAACATTTGCCAATATTCTTCAAATAAAATTTTGCGTGTTTTTTAGCTTAGAGACTCTAACATTTAGTGTATATTTCGTTCAGTATGTGATGGTTTTGATGAATAGAGTTTAGTCAAGCATGAAAGGATATAAGAAAAGATAATTCTTGTAAGTGGAAAAGAATGTGTTTTAGGACAGTGTTATGGACAGTATCATGTTGGATGATTTGCCGGAGCATATTCATATACAAATTATGCAATATATACATCCAACTGAACGCTTCATTAATGTTTCACTGGTATCAAAATATTGGTACAAAGTCGTTAATCGAGGTATATTCTGGCGTGAGATCTGTATTCACTTATCTTGGTCTCAAACAGTCTCAAAATCATTACAGATTTTTCTTCGAAAGGTGATAATGATAATCCTGTGTTTAGAATGTTTTTGAAAATCTTAATGGATATGAATTGAAGCTGGACGAAAGTTGCATCAAATTATTTCAGGCTCAAATGCATGTCGAGAAAATGTGTATAAATACGTTTGAAGAGAATCCGTTTCCTGATAAGTTGTTTATCAGTTTATTTCCTCCGGAAATGAAGCGCATGAAAGTACTAGATATAGGTTTTCATCCTAGTGAGTTTCCTATTACTTTAAAAAATTCTTGTTGTTCTATAGAACAGTATTTTATGTTATCAGATTCATAAATGATTATACATTTCAGTGTTATCACAGAGTTTAGTAGAATTTTTTTCAAAATGTTTTCCGAATTTGCAAGAGTTAAATGTCGAAGGAACAAAAGCGGTACTTATTATTTTAAATGCTTCAATTTCTAAAAGTTTCGTAACAATTATAGACTAACTTTCTTGCTTTTAATGCGTAACAAAAGTAATAAATCACCTTTTTTTTTAAATACAATTTTTGTAAAGCGGAAACTCAAGCATTATCTGCATTACTGTACTATAATCTATGCTTTAGTTTTTTTTCAGTTTGGTAGTCATGTTTATTCTACTCTATTATCAAAGGGTTTCCCGAATTTAAGAAAAATTCTAATTTCAAATTGCTCATTATTGTCTGCTGAGGATTACCGTCAATTTTGCCGTATCAGTCGACCCATTGAAGTTTTAAGTGTAGATGGAACTACATCTCTGGGTAACTTGTAAGTTCAAATCTATTTTATATTTTAACTTTGTGTTATAGATATTTCTCAGATTTTTGAAATATTGTGACGAAATTTGCGAAAATATATTATAGCTCCGCGATGTATTTGGAAAAATCGCCTTTTGCGCTAACTCTTACTAGGCTTTACTTAGATGGTGAAGATATGGATGATTTTGGATTTCAAGCTCTTACTGCTTGTAAAAACCTAAATTTGCTCTCCATTTCTTTTTGTGAAAATCTTACTGATGCTTCATTAGATTTTGTCAAGGTGGGTTGAAACTTTGGCATTTTTTGTGAGAGTTTTCATTCTGCTGATAAGTATTGCAATAATCTAATCTTATTCTAGTTTTAAATAATTTGATACTTGTTGTAATCATTTTAAGAAGTGCATTCATATCATTTCAAGTAAACTAAATTAGTTGCGTAGATTGATTCAGTCATTTGATAAAATTCTTTTTTGAAATAAATTTAAGTTTGATAAAAAAGTACAAGTTGCAATGTATTAATTACTTACTAAAAATGGTATAACCTATACTGTAAGCTGTTTGACAGGCTTAGAGTTTTCGGAGATTTCTTCAATTCTAGGTCATTATTTAATGTGGTTTCTAATAGAATTGCGACACCAGTAAATGTTGTGCTCTTAGGTCTACTGTAGTGATAAAAAAAGTACATCGAATTTTAACTGTAGTTTACAGTTAAAAAGGAGTTAGAGTCGTAGTCGTAAGACTTTAATCTAATAAAATTTTCTGGTACAAGCTGCAAATAATGCAGAAATTAAGTACAAATCATTTTTTGGTTTATCAGTGTTAGATATTTTTAGACATCATTAGTTCTTTGGTTCTAAATTTTAAGGATTTAGACGTTTCCAAACTTGGGTCATCTTCACCTAAGAAAGGGTAGAAAATTTACTTTCGATGGATTGATGAAACTGTTCAAGCTATGCAATAATGAAACTGTCATGTTTCCTGTGATGTTACGCTTTTTGGACCTAAGTGAATGCCCAGCTGTAGATGATCGTGTTGTAGACCAACTTACATCGAGGTTATCGTTTTTTAATTGATAATAAATTCACCATTTGAGGCTTCACCAGATTTTTATGTGTTCATAATTTGGAAAGAGTGAGTTGCCATCAGTTTTAAACTACTGTACAATGTGCTCTTAATTTCAGTTTGCATTTTATGTGACACTTTTTGCTTTTATAACTTTTTGGTTTTGTAGCCATCTCATTATATAAATGCTTACGTTACTTTAGTTGTCCCAAACTGCAGTCATTGAATCTAGCTTGGAATTGGTCAATTTCAAATGTTGGCTTCACACAGATAATAAAGCGACTGAAGTAATTTTTATCTTTTCTTCTTTTCGAAATTTCTCTTAATTTTTATTCAACAGTACTTTTATAAGCAATTTTATCTGTGCTACATTTTAGACAAATTCAGTTTCTTGATCTCATGGGTATTTATTCTATTACGAGCTCCACTATCATGAATCTCCCAGATTGTTATTTCTCTAAACTTCGTTTTTTATCTATTGTCCAGTGTCCTCAGGTAGAGTTTTAATTTTATTGCTATAATTCTATCAAGCGCGAAAATACTTGAAGAGCT